TACAAATTTATTGTTTGATAACCTACCAGGTCTTTCATCCCCCAAACGACCTTGCAAACACATCACTCGACTACCTTCCCATGTGCTCTATATCCAACCCTCTATGCTCTTCCGTCTGATCACTCGGATTCAATCTCTCGCGACAGCTGATGGGATGGAACTGCAGCAAAAAAATGAGTGCTCGCCCGACCAACCGTTCCCATGCAAAACTCCGGGCCAGTGTATTTCACTTGGCTTCCTTTGCGACGGACAAAACGACTGCGATGACGAGTACGACGAAGATCCGCTGCTGTGCATCGCAAGTAAGTGGAGGCTTGCCTGAACATCGAAATATACACAGCTCGTAAGCGTTCAAACGCAGCGCCAAATGGGGGTATGAGAGACTATTTGGCCTGATTCGAGCAAAACCTCATTAGTGACTCGAATTTGGGGCTTCGGTTCCCTCTACCGACTATGGCTGAACCAAATCACAAATACATACACAAAGTTTGTGCAAGCGCCCCAGCTCCCTGTTAATTATGTAAAATGCATTAGAATTTGGAAAAAAATGCATATGCCAACAATTGCTTAGAAAAATATTTTTTTAAGAAATTCAGACTCGGAGCCTTGACCATACCATGAGTGTATATGCGAAGGTTAGCTAGGTTTTCGACCATTAGTCCTAAGTTATTTTGTTATGAGGAATTTAATTTCCTGTGCAAGCGCCTTATCAAGCTATTCGTAGGCTGTCTTTTTCATGCTATATGTAGAGCGTGTAAAAGAGGCGGCCAATCTTGTTGATTTTGTGTTAATTTGAGGTTTCTACCATAACTGGTCTCAGCTCGGACAATGTCTGTCGAGTGGTAATTAATTGCCTTAACCAGAGTTACTGACGTACTTACGCAGTCTCGGTTGGTTTTTTTTATTTGATCATTGAGTCTTGATGAAACGATCCTGACATTAAGTTTTCTAATCACTCTGATTTTGGGCCGGTGTGGCGGGTAGGCGTTAACAAGCACACACATACACACAAGTAAAAGGACTATGAATAATGTGAAATAGAACTAGCCAAATCATTCTAGATTTATCTATGTCTATACATTTTTGCCTTTACCTATGAGTATATATAAGAAGTAAGATAGAGCCGGACAGTCTTCTCGACCATATATTAACTTAAGAATGAATTCAAGCTCTGATGATGTTCAACAGATGCTGGACGAAAAATCGGCCCACTTTATCCGAAATGAGAGAGGATGTATCGTGGACTGCGTCAACCCGAACGTGCAATACAACTGGAATCAGCCGTCGTCTTCTGGTGAGATCAACATTCGAGTCTCTTCGCCACGCACTTTCATACGAATTGAAAGTCTTTACAACAATAGTCTTCTTGAATATGTGAAGACCAAGATATTGTGGCCTCTGGTGTGGTCGCAGTCTCCTTTCGATTGATAGAAGTGGGTTGACCTCGTTGTCGCAACTTGATCTTGTTTTCAGGGAGACCATGCAGAACGCACCTAGTCCGAAGTCGTCTGCCATAGTAGTTGTCATGATTCCCAGCATCTGAAAGTGGACTTGATACATTCTCCCTTTTAGTTCGCAATATTCTTCGACCAGGTATTTTTAGAACTCACCTTGTCCGAAAACCATATTATGCATGATAATTCCCAGCGTCGGCCATGGACTTGGTAAATTCCTGGACGTTTCGCCGGCATCGTAGTCAGCCTCGTCAGTAAGTCTTGCCAGTCTTAGCAACGCACTTCAACTTGTCAAAGGAGACGGGTGAAGTCGATCCTTATACCAATTATATGCTGAACGAGATGTACCCCGTGCACATGTCGAACAGGGATAAGGGAATCTGCAGCGTCAAGTTAGTTTCCCGATAAGCTTGACAATCCAGACTTTGGGGGGCTGCTCAATGCGGCAGGAGTATACATGTTATCAAAGACTTGAGGCCGAATTCAGATCATAACGTTTCTAATAGCATGGACATGGTGACAGTAATCTATTGAAATCCCTGAACCAGGGGGATAAGAAAAGGATCCTACGGAGCAAGATGTAGACTCTGAAAATACCTGGTCGAATAATATTGCGAACTAAAAGGGATTAAAGTCCACTGTCAGATGCTGGGAATCATGACAACTACTATGGCAGACGACTTCGGACTAGGTGCGTTTTACATAGTCCCCCTGACAACAAGACCAAGTTGCGACAACGAGGTCAACCAACTTCTAATAGTCTTCTTGACTTTGTGTTAACATGAAGCTTCTGGAAGGACGAGTTTCAGCTCTGACGAGGTCTGTCAACCAGCATGAGTCGAAAACTTTCACTCGCTTTCACACGAAACGAGGAAAGATATCCTGTTGACCCATCCAGAAGATATTATTAGAACATAAAACCACTTTTAACAGTCTATGGGTCCAAAGTAGGACACTCAATAGACTAGTCTAAAACACGTTTTACTGGCTACGAGGACTTCACATCAAAGCGCAAGATTGGGGAGTCTATTAAATGGAAGCATCAGCTTTACTAATATCATTTGGGGAAAATTCTACTACCAGTCCTTCATAACCTTAAGACGAAATTGTGTGAATACATCTCATACATTACTTATTTTTCGTTCATAAATAGGCTTTTGGGACTGATATACTGGTAGTTTTGACATACTACTTATGGACGAATAATAAGTAATGTAGTCAATTATCATAGCAAATATAACGTTGCTTCATCGACAGTTCCACCAAAGAATTTGATATGGGAAATGCCTGCTCCTCCTTGAAATTCACATCTGCTCTATGACCTAAGGGCACTCGTGGCAATATGGAGTAGTGGTTAACGTGTCGAGATTGCACACTGTACTGGCATGGTTCCACTCCCACTGTGGGGGATGATAAGTCCTAGGCAAGGTCGAAACTACAATCTACCCTGGAAAATATTGCTGTGAAATTTAATAGAAACGTCATGTGTGTTCATATCATTATGGGAAAATTGAACTACCCGTTTTTTCATAATCCTAAATAAACTAGGATAAGGACATGTCATACATACAATCTAATGGTAATCTCGAAAGCCTACTTATATCTCATTTATCCCTAAACTCTTTGATGAGCTTACATATAGGACATTTTACAGCATTTATGGATAAACCGGTGAGTTTTATTGACTCATTAGCTTGAATATGGTTTCAAGAATAGTATCCCGCTCTGATGATGTCCGTCATATTACGTACCAAAGCTTAACACGTTTTCTCTGTAATCGAAGGAGACTGCTTCAAAAACAAAGTCAGCAAGCATGTTTGCGTAAAGCCAATCGGCAGCTGATCAAGAGAAATCCGCCGTCATCTTCTGATGAAATCGGCCTTCAAACTTCTTCACCAAACACTTTTACTCGAAATGGAAGTGAGCTAAACAAATAAGTTGTTCGAGGCGTTTTAATGATCGTTTGTTGAGTCTTCCGACTCTGAAAAGGGTAAGCCTCACAATACCCTTGAAATGCATTCATCCACACTTAACTGCAGTTTCGATCTCACCCGATCTTACTTGTAAGCACCCTTAATTGAATTCGAAACCTGGCCTTCAGCTTTAAATGGCGACAAGTGATCGCTCTGCCCTACATCCTCAAGTGCTGCTGGGTCACAAGGAAGACATCACCTTCATAGCAAGCTAAGTCTCTATCGAATCACACATATTGGGAAATTATCTTCAATAAGTCACACTTGAACTTATAAATATAATCGATGATACCATCATTCACTAAATATATAGGTTTCGTAATTGGCAACTGGTTTAGAATAAAAAACCTTAGTAACCTTATATCGCTAATAGTGATGCAAGGATTGGATTGCAGTTTCTATATCCCATGGGTTTCATCCGTCCCCTCAGTTGGATAGACTTTTGTATCAATAAGCTTCTTGTTTAATTGTATCCTGGTTACCAGGAGCACTGATTGAGTAAAGTGCAGCATAGACTATTTAGAAGAACAACTCTTTAAAAGTTAAATGCAAATCTCATGATTTTGTGTCATAATTTTCAAGAGCAAAGAGAGGCTAACCATAATTTCGATACAACTTTTCTATCGACGTCTTATCAGGACATTAGCTATATTAGTGCCTGATTTCCTTCAGTATTTGTACCCTGTACTTGTAAAGTCCCTTTTATCTCTACTACTAATAAAGCAGTCACGATCTTGTCCACGAAGAGGGTCCGGTTCCCTCAAACATGGACCATCTTTCAGGCTTTGAAAACAGCATTG